CCAGAACTACACGAGAGGAGCTGGTCAATGACCTGAAGAGAGCTGGCACCACTGTTTCCATGGTTACTGTGGGTAATACACTAAGACGTCATGGTTTAAAATCATGCATGGCACGGAAGGTTCCCCTGGTTAAATCAGCACACGTCCAGGCCCGTCTTAAGTTTTCCCATGACCATTTGGATGATTCAGAGGAGTCATGGGAGAAAGTTCTGTGGTCACATGAGACCAAAATAGAACTTTTTGGTCTTAATTCCACTCACCGTGTTTGGAGGACGAAGAATGATGAATACCATCCCAAATACACCATCCCTTCTGTGAAGCATGGGGATGGATGCATCATGCTTTGGGGGTGTTTTTCTGCACATGGGACAGGACAACTGCACTGTATTAAGGAGAGGATGACGGGGGCCATGTAGTGAGAGATTTTGGGGAACAACCTCCTCCCCTCAGTGAGAGCATTGGAGATGGGTCGAGGCTGGGTCTTCCAACAAGACAATGACCCGAAGCACACAGCCAGGAGAACCAAGGAGTGGCTCCGTAAGAAGCATATCAAGGTTCTGGAGTGGCCTAGCCAGTCTCCAGACCTAAACCCTATAGAAAATCTTTGGAGGGAGCTCAAACTCCGTGTTTCTCAGTGACAGCCCAGAAACCTGGCTGATCTAGAGAAGATGTGTGTAGAGGAATGGGCCAAAATCTGCTGCAGTGTGTGCACACCTGATGAAAAACTACAGGAAACATTTGACCTCTGTAACTGCAAACAAAGGCTACTGTACCAAATATTAACATTGATTTTCACAGGTGTTCAAATACTTATTTGCAGCAGTAACACAAATAAATTATTAAAAAATCATACATTGTGATTTCTGGGGGGTTTTTTTTTAGATTATGTCTCTCACAGTGGACATGCACCCGAGATGAAAGATTCAGACCCCTCCATGATTTCAAAGTGGGAGAACGTGCAAAGTCGCAGGGTGTTCAAATACTTATTTTCCTCAATGTATATATATATATATGCAGATGTTGGATGCTGTCTATCATGGTGCACTAAGATTCATAACTGGCTGTGATTATCGTACCCACCACTGCACCCTGTATTCACTGGTTAACTGGACATCATTAACTTCACACAGACTCTCTCACTGGTACATTTTCATCTTTAAATCACTTCTTGGTCTGCTGCCTTCATACATCTCCTCCTACATGTCTCAGCGTGAGTGCAGCTACAGCATGCGCTCTCAGGACATTATTAACTACAGTGTGAGGACTGAACTAGGGGAAAAGGGCCTTCTCCTACTCTGCTCCTGTTTCTTGGAATATCTTACAAAAAGATCTGAAGCTCTCGACCTTGACCTCTCTAAGTGGCTTAAGAATCTGTTGGACTCCTAGCAGGGACCAATGAAGACATGTTCCTGTTTTTAATTTTCTACATTCGCCTTAGAATCTAGCTGTTCTATTTCATATAGGTTTCGCCCTTTAAGGCTGTCGCTGGTGGGTTTATCCCGTCATGCAAAGCATTGCACTGAAAAAAATTAGTCCATGCCCACCTGTTGTGTGGGCCCCACCCGGTCCGTATAAATTACGTTAAGAGCGGGTAATCGGCTCCCATTTTTCTTCAGCAAGCTAATAACACTGTCAGAAGAACAAAAAAGGGAAGTTGTCCAGCTTGACCGACACAACCTTTAAGGCTGCCTGGGGTCCCACCATGCCGACCTCCTGCTGTCCCGGTGAGTTCTCCTCCCCGAGGAGAAGCAGACAAGCAGCCTTGTTTCAAAGTAAGCGCTGAGGAATATTTCTCAGTGGCGGGTCGCTACACGTTGGACGACGCCATCGACCCTTTTTTCTTTTTAACGCCGACTCTCGGAGCAATTGTTATGGTTCCTCCAGGACAGGCGAAGTCAGCAGCATCTCCGCTGCCCACTCCCTCCTGGAGAGCGTATTGTCGGAACGAGGGGGGGCTGAGTAGATGCTCAACCCCCTTCGGGCCTCTTTCACATCGGCGACCTCACCGCTCCCAGCTGTCGGTGCACTCCTATCGGAGCTGCCCGGCATAATTCAGGCGGCTGACATGAAGGGACTTTTTTCCGTCCCTCTCCTTCCCCCGCCCAGATCGGATGATCTAGCGGGAAGGTTTTTTGGCCCCACCCCGGCTCGCCATCCTGATCCCATCTGGCCTTGTTTTCCCAGCAGTGATGTCCTACTGGAACGAGGCTGCAGCCGGACCTGGTAGACTGAGAGCGACGGTTTCCACATTCGCGCCCATGACCAGAGTGGAGGGGTTTTACCGAGCGGAAATTCCCTCGGTGCCCCCCTGGAGTCAAGCCTGGTGGAGGCTCTCGGAGCAAAGATGTCCAGGTTGGACCAGCGTCCTGTGCATCCGGGGAGGCATGACCAGACGATGACATCACTCTCCAACCGAGCTCACCAGTATGCGTTCCAGGCGGCCGCAGTGACCAATAACATTGCGCCGCTGATGTACAGCATTTCAGAGGCCGGAGGGACAGACTTGCCTGAGGAGACGAAGAGCTCCCTCTGCAGGGTGTCTGACGTCACCCTCAACCTGGGTGCCTCGCATGCTGTCTGCCTGTCTCGCATCGCAGCCTGGATGACAATGGTTCAGAGGTCCACCTGGCTTGTCACTCCCCCTCCCTGTCGGAGAAGCTGCAGATGGACTCGCTGGAAGGCCCCATCATGACGGACGCGCTGTTTGGAGCCAATTTTCAAGGACATGCTCGAGAAATCAAAAAAGCCAGAGGAGGTGTTGGAGATTGTGCGCCATCTGATCAAGCCACACCCCTCCTCTTGCCCCGCACCCCCGCCTGCTGGAGAGAGGGCCATGGCCGAGACAGCAGAGACGCGCCACAGTTCCAGCAGTGTCTTCTTGCTCCGCTCTGCCGCCAGCCCCTCTCGTCAGAGTACAGCCCTCCTCATCCCGACAAGCCGCAGGGCTCATGGGGGAGAAGATTCAAAATAATTAATTGCGGAGGATGTGCGTGTGCATAATGATGGTTTGAATTTTTGGAATAAAACGTAAACATCATTCAGGAATTAAAGTGTCTGATTTCAACCTGACTGTCAGTTCGTATGATCTCACAGCGTTTTTTTCTCTCACATCCTCCACACAAGCGAGCCGGTGTCCTACAAACAGGTTTTAAGCGCAGAAGCGCCGCGCCCCCGTTGCATCGGCAGCCCTCACCTACATGGTTTCGCATGCCCGGGGGCGCGCGCACCTTCCCTCGGCTCACGCCAGCCCACATCAGCACGGATGTGAGCCTGCAGCCTGAGCGCGGCACGGTAGCGCTGTGCCCCCGCGGCAGCAGCAGCCCTCACCCATGGCTCCGCATGCTCAGGGGCGCACGCACCTTCCCTCAGCGCACACCAGCTCACATCAGCACGGATGTGAGCCCGCAGCCTGAGCGCGGCACAGAAGCGCCGCGCCCCCACGGCAGCCCTCACCTACACAGTCCCGCATGCTTGGGGGTGCACGCACCTTCCCTCAGCGCACACCAGCTCACATCAGCATGGATATGAGCCCACAGCCTGAGTGTGGCATACATGACGGCGATGATTGGCATCCGTAAATAATGTGAAGCAGCATAAACGCGTGCCCGCTTCCTGAACGTTACGCGGAGTGGCAGCG